GTATGAATTTACAAATATATTTATACAATCAGAGGAAAAAAATAATTGAATAGTCTTATGTGCCTGCGTTGTTATGTTTTTGGGTAGAATTTTTTGAGGATGGTTAGTCTTTCAGATTTCAAATTAATATTTTATGTTTTAATTTATATTTAATAAATATTTTGAATTTTAAATTAAAATTAAAATTAAAATTTCATAAAAACCAGCAGATTTCTAAAATAAATAATAGTGCCATGTCTCTGAGTATGCCACGTTGATCGCTCCAGTGAGAGGGCTTCATGTCTATGATCATGGGTAGTTTCGTGCGTTTGTAGGCTCTAGAATGGGGGAGTTTTGGTTTCATTTGAAGCGATTGTGTGATGATGGTTTAGAGAAGTTACCCGCAAGTTCTTGTGAGGCCAGAGATAGATTCTCAAATTCACGCATTTCATATTCAGTTGAGGAAGGGATGATATTGATGGCGGTTTACAAAGGCGCGTGCTCATGGTGGCAGGGGTTCGTATGAGGTATTCAATCGTCAGAGTTCAAGAACATTGGCGCGGTATTTTCTTAAAACCATTGTGACCATGATTCTTACAGATAAAGGGTCAGTTTCAGTTGATTTCTTGCTCAGACTCCTTCGGATTTCGAACCATTTCAGGGTCTCCCATGTTACCTGGACAGAACTGATTAGATGAGCAAGCCTGTAATTTGATGAAGCAACTATGGGTGACTTGCCTTATACTTCAGCATCATCAATAGAGTTGGTTTTAGCAGTGTTGGGAAGTTACTTGAAGCTTTGGAAAAGAATGTCTCCTAATCCTGCAGATAACTGCCACTTCTTAAGATCAATTATACGTGTTGAGAAGCTCATTGAATCATATCTTTAGGTGATTGCAAGGGATGATAATTTGCCAGTATCAAAATTTTTGGCCCTTGTTGAAGCTCTTCAAGATATTGCAAGGTTACAGCATGATGATCTCTACCCAGCAATAAACATCTATCTTAAGGTAAATTTTTTAGGCTAATTTCATTTTAGTCGTCTATAAAGAGGACTTGAATATCAAAATAACCCCTTGAAAACAAATTCTATTTTTCCAGAATTGCATTTTTAAAGATTAATTCAAGCGGAATTAAAAGAAATATAAAGCTTTTGAGAACAAAAGTTGGACAGAATATCTTGGGGATTATCTTTGTAGGATTATAATAGAACTTAGGTGGAAGCTTTAAATTTTCTGGGCTTTTAAGAACCCCTTGCAAACTGAAAACATATCAATATATTTTGAGGACCTTTGATGCCCTACTTAGCCCCATTGTGTTTTTGACTTTCTTTTATTTGAATCAGTATTTTTATCCATAGAGAAAAAAGTGCAAACACTCGGAGATCAAGCAGCTTTAATTTCTTCTTTGATAAAACAAAAAGGAACCTTTTTACTCTCACTTCGGTGTACTCATTCATCTTACTAAAATTGTTTAAACAAGAGCTCAAATACACAGAATCAAGTTGTGAATTGTTGAATATACTTTCAAAGTCACAAAGATATGTAGCTATTTATGTAGGCATATATAAATTATGAGACACTTAAAAGGTCAGAGAGCTCAAACCCTCTCTTTATTTTCCTTCCATCAATTACTTCTTAGCATACTGAACAATACTTGTGAGAGGTAGGTCCATCACGTTATCCATTGCCTGTTGTTATGTGTGAGTAGAAGTAACTATATGAGAATTTAGAGATTCCATCCCTTGTGATTCTTTTATAGACTTTGTATAGGGTGCTATTCGTAAGGGATATCATGGCATGTTGGCTTATTTGTATGCCCATTAATTAGCTCACTTGCCATGATTGAAAACATGGCTCTAAGATGTTGAGTAGTGCATTATTTTTCTATTTTTTTACAGAAACAAAATTCGTGACACATCCATACACATAAGTCACCTTATATTCCATATATGAGTTTCTAATTCTAATTCCTCCTTATCATCACAAATCATGCCACATATATCGGATGGAAGCAATTATTTATTTATACAAGTAGTTTTCGGTGGTTATGTAATTTCAATTTCGATTTAAGAACATGGAGACTATGTTGGATTTCAAATTCGATTATGCTGACCATGATGTGGAGTACATATTTTCAATTTTGCATTAATTTCTTAGTATTATTTAGTATTAATTTTGCATGGAAGTGAGTTTAGATTCTATTTTAAATTATTATAATTTAACTAATAAAATCAAATAGATATTGGTGATAACTAATTAGGAAGTGTTTAGTTGTTTAATATTTATATATTAAAAATTTTAATTTTGAATAAAACAGATACAGGAATTTAGAATTATAATTATCTATGTATGCATATTATTTTTTTTTTTGGCCATAAACAAAATTGGTTAACATGGTTGGTTTTAGAAATAAATAAAAACTAGGGATAATTAATTTGAAAGTCCTTATGGTTTTATTCAATTTTGAATTAAGTCCTTGAGTTTCTTTTTCTTTTTATTGGGTCCTTTAAGCTTTTTCTGTTAAATATGTTAATCCCTGTTGTTAAATAAAAAACAACACTGTTAAAACTTCCGTTAAAAAGCACAGCAAGCGTTTTCTCCATCTAAAACAACTCGTTCTATCTCCTTCTCCGATAGCCTTTTCTCTCCCCTCTCTGCATTTGCCTGCCTTATTAAGTTGATCCCTTCTCACACCCCAACACATACACATATATATTAGTAACCCACAATTGTCCATCACTGAATATGACAACCCCCATCCTTCCCCTCTCTCCCCTCGCCTGTGTCCATCGTCCCCTTTGCCATGTCCTCATCTCTCTATTTCCTCTTTTCTCTTTCCTATCTCTCTTATCTTCCCATCCACCACTTAGCTTTCATGACATAACCTCAAAAGCCAGCAACCACTTCTCCTTGCTTGATAACATAGAATGTCGGCCAAGTGACCTTTCTCTCTCAACTTTAAATTTTCCATTTTCGATGAGGTGACCCCACCCCTGGCTACTCCATTTCCAGAATCCTCAAGATTTCCAACACATTTGGTCGGAGGTTTGGATGTGATTAAGTGCAAGATTTTCACCTGTAGGGGTTCAACTTGTTGCTGATCAAAAACTGGCCAATGTGATAAAAGTATTAAAGAATGATAAAGAGTAGTTTATTGGTGAAAGTTATCTTAAAAGAAAACTGAAGCAAATTATCAGCTTAGCTTTCATCATGGGGAACAAATAAAAATTGATTGATAAGAGGTAACATGGCCGAAGAAGAGGGATGTTTAAATTCGAGTGAGAAGAATGTTATTAGGGGACATCAGCTTAATACGGTAGACAAATGCAGAGAGAGAATAAAGGTTTTCGGGGAAGGAGATAGAAAGAGTTGTTTCACATGGGAAAGAGGTTTGCAGTGCCTTTTAACAGAAGTTTTCACAGCATTTTTTTAAATTTAACAGCAGGGATTAATGCATTTAACAGAACAAACTTAAAGGACCAAATAAAAATTAAAAAAAACTCAAGGACTTGATTCCAAATTGAATAAAACTAGAAGGACCTCGAAATTAATTATCCCTAAAAACTATAAAGATTTTTTATTTATATTTAATTTATTATCATATTTATGTAACCCATATCCGATATTTATGCTTTGTGGTTAGAGTCATGATTTAACTAATATTGAGATGAGAGCGAACACAAGGTCCAAGGAACAGCATTAGCTGTGATATGGGAATGGATGCTTTTAACCTAAGTTTTCTGATTTTAAATAATTATTTTCATCATAAAATATATTTATTCATAGTTAGAGAGAGAAAAATAAGTTAATAGCATTTAAAGAGACTTGCATGCAATGTTGTTTCTTCAAATTTTTAATGCTTAGAGTTCATTATTATATTTACAACAAAAAAATTTAATATTTATTTTACATTTTAGATTTGGAATAAAAATCTTGAATAAATAATTTAAATTTTAAATTAAGAATAACCTAAAAATCAAATAACTATATTGTATGATCTCATTTTTTATTTTAAATATACATATAGGATCTTGTATTTAGAATAGGAAGTAATAACTAAGAAAGAATGAACACAGGTCCATCCAATAATGATTTCTAATTTACATTGTTGATAGTAGTGGTCAAATGAAATTATACGGGTGTATTTTAAATCTCGAATTGAGAAAAATCTAAAAATTAAATAATTATATATATATATATATAAGTGGATACCTGGTCTTCCATCAAAATTGAGTGCTTCAATCATGTTTATACATAATAATATTATAAGTGAAGTCAATTGGTTTTTGGAATGACATATGGTTAATTGTGATTATATTAGCAAACATGTTATAAGAGCACATATAGAACATTTAAAATCAATGATGCTCTAAATATTTTGAAAATAATGGTCTTAAATGATAGAAACGTCACAAAAAAAACCTTTCAACGTTACTTACAAAGAATTTTTTATAACCTTATATCTCGAGCATGTATATGAATTTTCTTTTTTGGTGACATAAGCATATCTATCAATTTAACTAATCACTATATAGTGATTGAACTTTTTATGCTATATGAAGAAATACTAATTCACACCGTGCATTGCACAGGTACTGTACTAGTTTTGTTAAAATTTTGTAAAACTGGCAGTATCTAACAGGCTCCAAGACTCGTGCAAGAGATGCAAAGGTTCACGAGCAAGGGTTGTTTGAATTGTCTTAAAAATATTTTTAAAAACACTTTTTTGAAAATCTAAATAAATTTTTTTATATATTTATTTTATATGCTATAAAAATACTTTTAAAATTATGATTTTGTTTCAACCCAAACAATTTTAGAAAAAAGCTCATCTTCCGGTCTGGTTTTAATAATTTTATCCAAAATTTATGGGTTATGGTCACAACGAGGCAATCATCCCTGGCTTTTCGTGTCTGAAGCTGCGAATGCCACTTGTTGGATTTGGATGTCCTTCGGCTGGCCCCACCGCTGACATCTTTTGTCTTGCTCGGTACATCCGCCATGATTCCGTGAGTTCCGTCGCCACACAAATTTCCTTTTCTTCGCGCTGAAAATTTCACTCTTAGTCAGTTTCGAATTCCCATTCCGAGCGAAGGACTCATAAATCCTTCCTTCTCATGGATTGCGCAAACTCCAATGCCTCCCCTTCTGATGCCTACTGGCTTCTGCTCACCTCCCTCTCTTTGATCCCCTTCTGGCATTACTTAATTGCTGCCGCCATTGCTTTTATTGCATTCGTTTACAATTTCTTGGAGTTTCATCTCCTCGAAGATTTTTTCTCCGGTTTCAGAGGCTCTCCCGTGGGGTTAACGTACAACTCTTTCTCCGAAATCTATGATGGGGTGGTTTCCAAGTGTTCGCTTCTCCATGGGAGGTATGGCTAAGCTTATCTTGGTTCGTTTTCTTTTTACTCGATATCCTGGGTATCAATGCCTGGAATTTGAGTGCTTCTTGCTGATTGGAATAATCTAGTTCTTCAGGTATTTGCCGACGCTCTGGCTTTCAAGCCCTCATTTGCAGACTTGTTTTTTGAATTTTTTCGGAAGGCCCCCCGCTTTCAAGTACAAAAGGTTGCTATTTTACTTTCCTTTCCGCTCTGTTTTTGTCAATGTGCTTGTGCATTTGTAAGGTATACTGTATTTGATTGAGAAAGCATTTCCTTGCAGCGTTGGTTTGTCTAAATTTTTGTTCTCATTCATGTACTGTTAGTAATATGGAAGAATTTGATACATGCATTATTAAATTAAGTTGTTGACAACTGGCTGTTGGTAATTTTTTGAATCTTGCGTTTTCTTTCTTTCTCCGGAGTAAGCCGAGAAACAAAGTACATCAGAGAGGCAGTAGTAAGCAGCGACATAGAAATAACAACCAATGCATTGAAAACAAAGTCATATGGTGTTCGATATGCATGTAACATGCATACCGTATATGATAGCCGTATATGATATAACACTTCAAATTACATTTAAACATTAATGATTCTTGCATCACAATGTATTTATTGGCTCTTCTCTTGTATCCATATTAATATCTCTTACCTTCTGGTAGAGTCTCTATATTTTATTGATGGTTTCATGTAAAAATTGCTCTTATTTTCTTACAGACAATTGTATAAAACTTCTGATGGTGGAACCATTGCTTTGGACTGGTTGAGGAGCTCTGACGGTATATATGAAATATTTAATAAGCGACTAGTGTTCTAATGTTGAATGTACACGTTTGGTTTATTTATACATAGTATGTAAATCAACAAGCCCATGTCTTTATTACTTTCATGACTCCAGGTTAATTAATTTCTGACAGCTTTACCATTTGGTTCTTGTCATATGACATGTTATCTGATTTATTCGTTGTAAACTTAATGTTACTTTTTATGTTAAATTAGAGCATAAATTCATTTTAATTTATTTTATTTTATATGTGTTTTTGTATTTGATTGTTTTCCAGTGTCTCATGGTGCTCCCCACGGGGATGATGCTGTTCCTAGAGATGACCCCACTCCTCTTGTTGTTGTAATTCCCGGCCTAACAAGTGACTCTTCATCTGCTGTAAGTAATGTTATGTATCCTTGTTACTATAACTGTGTTATTGCGTAAATCCTCTCTCCCTTACCATTTAAAATGCTTAATCTTTATTTATTTATTCTTTTAATGGTAGAACAGGATATTTATTTTATATTATAGTGACATCTTATGGTGTTTTGTCTGTAGTATCTCAAACATCTTGCGTTCAGTACAGCAAAGCAAGGGTGGAATGTAGTTATCAGTAATCACCGAGGTCTGGGAGGTGTTTCAATTACGGTTAGTCTTTCTTCAAGCTGAGAAATTTGGAAGACATAACCCAAGTACTGCAAATAGTCACAAAAATAATTTTCTGGTTAAATCATATTTGCCCATATGCGTGTTAATTAGACCTTGGTGCTCCCCACGGGGATGATGCTGTTCCAAAAATAATTTTCATGATGTAATTGCCAGTATATATATATTTACATGCATAGGTCTGTGATGCAATGCATATGTGATTTATGTGTAAGTACAGAAATGGGCCTGCCATGTTGCCTTTTGTCAAAATTAATTTTTCTTAATTTTTAAAATAATATATCAAATGGGGCCATGGCTTTCGGATGCAAGCAATAAGGTTGGCCACCGTACCAGAGTAAGAAGAAAACAGGCAGGTGACTTTACTATTACAACTTCTAGTAACCCTCCATTGGAGAACTGCCTGCCCTTAATCTGGAGATAATGGTTGTCAATTCTCTTCCCAGATCAGGAGTTAAAAAGGTCTGTGTAATGGTAATAGAGCTTAAGCTAGAATTCATACATGTCAAAAAGTTGCACGAAATTTATGTTTAGCCTCAAGTAAACCATGAAACAGAGATGACTTCCTTCTTTTCTGTGAAGGTTTGAAAAAGAATTAGCAAAAATTAAGTAATACTGGATGGATTGATCAAACCAGATCAGTTAGCTGGCTTGAAGCTGGCTAGTTTGCAGTAAATGTATTCTTGTCTTAAGTCTTGACACTTAATGGGTTTCAAGGCATTGATCTATAAGCCATCTCCTCATTCCCATCCTTGACAAAGGGCTTAACTTCTACTGCGATTAAGATCAATATGGGTGAACTAAAATATTTAGAAAGTTAATGCAGAAATGTACCGGTCTCATCACTGTCACTTATGCTAACTTGGTGGTTTCAGAGGTTCTTTATGTCATTGTGACACTACTGAAACTGAAGATTAGTTATACCAAAAAAAACTGAAGATTAGCTGAAAAATTGGTTAGCATGTGTTGTGGAAATGCTTTGATCACTCAAACACAAGCTTTCTCTTGATCACTAACTCCCGTCCCACATTATAGTGATTCTTTATTCATTACTTTACTGTTGTTTGAAAGGGGAGATATGTTCTTTTCTTCACTTATTTCCTCCACCCCCCCCCCCCAAAAAAAAACTGTTAAAACATATATGTCATGGGAGAACTTGCTCTCTTATGTGTGTGTAAGCAACACACACATGCGGCCCCTCACTCCCCCCCCCCCCCGGTTTTTTGTGATAACTAAACTGGATAAATCTGATCTGAATACAGAAATCCATGCTCTAAAAGGATGACAATTCCTAGTTACATAAATGAGGATGTTTATTAGACTTTCAGGTGATAAATTAGTTAGATAATTTTGAACCTATAGATCAAGGAGATCATGGTCATATCATATTATTCTTTATCTGCTGGCTTATTCTCACAATTAATTAGTATGAATTATCCTTGGACTATTGATCAGTTTCTCAACACTTCCAAATAGAATAATGGACGAATAAATTAAAGAAGTAAAGGCTAGCCCTTATGAGAGTGGACATTCGGTTATGATTTTGTTTACCTTTGTACATCATGATCTCGCATCTTGTTAGGTCCAAACATAGCTGAAATAGTAAATGATTGGGCTGTAATGCGTTTTTTCTGCTATGAGTATTCCTTTGAAGTGTTTTGATGCAAAGATGCATTTGTTTTTCTCTATTAATGCCTTCTTTTTCATTTCAACCTTTGCAGTCTGATTGTTTCTACAATGCTGGATGGACTGAGGATGCCCGTGCAGTGATTAGGTACCTACATGAAGAGTATCCCCGGGCTCCCTTGTTTGTTGTTGGAACTAGTATTGGTGCCAACGTTCTTGTAAGTTTCATAGCTCAAGTCTTATATCTTAAAGTTTCATGTTTGAGCGTTAATTTAAAATTTTGTATATTTACATACACCTATATCAAGTTGAGTTCTCAACACATTAATGATTGAGTTTGGAAGCTTGTGATCTCGATTTTTGTTATTGTGCCATTTATAGCAAGGAGCAAGGAGCTTCTAAAAACAAAACATGCTTTTTTTTTTTTTAACACTCGTATATGAAGTGTTACTCCACTGTATATTTTTTCTTTTTTTTTTTTGGGGGGGGGTTGGTTTAGTTCTAGAATTTGATTCATTTAGCTATATATGCATGATTTATCTCAATATATTGAAATTTGTTGCTTAATAGCATGCTTCTCTACTTGCTCATATAACTTTCCCTGCAGCTTTGTTATAAACCACACATATATCAATTTCGCACATGTTAAATCTTTCTTGCTTGAATAATTATTATTAGTGAACTAAACTTCTCTGGCCTTCCACCATTGCCTTAAACACAAGATCAAAATATAAGAATTAAAAGATAAGGGAAAATTGCAAAAAATCCTACTGGTTTCTTATCTGCATGCCTCCTTTCCTCTGCCTACCAAATGATTGGATTTTTATTTTGATCTTATTTTGAAATCAATATAGCTTTTTGGGAAGTCGTTTGTTCACAAATTTTTTTTTTTTTTTTAAAAATCTAATATTTTAAGCTTTATCTCCGGAACTGATAAATTTTGACTGCTTTATGTTTATGCTTCAATTTGATCACAATAATTAATTATGGTCATTGAAACATGCTCCATTTACTTTCTAAGCTGCATGCAAATTAGGATTTATACATAGTTAATGTACTCATGTTCAGTCATTGTTAACCTATATAATTTGAATATGTATGCAGGTAAAATACCTTGGTGAGGAGGGTGAAAATATTCCCGTGGCTGGGGCTGTAGCTATTTGCTCTCCTTGGGACCTTTTGGTTAGTCTGTATCTTGAAATTAACTGCATCTTAATTTGGCATTTCAAATAGGAAGGAATTAGTTTGATATATGAACTTAGCAAAGCAAATTTGATTGTTTCCTAAGCTGCACATTCTACGCGTCTGATTATTGTTGATTTCCAGTCAAAGTTACACGTCTCTAGCTTCTTGAGATGTCTACATTTTCTACCAAAGCCCTTGCTATGCCTTGTGAGTTTATCCTTCCAACAATCTAGATTACTTCATAAGCAGGTGATCTCTAGCTCAAATGAAACAATAGTATGGTTTATCATGGATATTGCTTTTTAGATGAAGGGAAACTATTCCTCTTTTTTCAGCTCTTACTCAGGGAAGAAAATAGAGAAGACCTTTTATAGGTTTCATGAGACACTGGATGATATCTAAATGGACAGAGAACTGATATTATTTTAATCTGAGCTCTCTTTCACAAATAAAGATGAATATAATGGTTTGTTATCTAAAAGATTACTCTTTTCTCAATTTGTCCTCCAGAGGTTAAGGCGCTCAATTTAGTCTCTAAAAGACAACTCTCCTCTCATTTGGTTGTGATAAAGCCTCTGAGAGGCCTAAGTCTGTCCCACAGACTGCTGAGATTCTTCTTATCCTACCCACAGCCCCACAGCCCCTCCGTACATTACTGATGATGCAGCGAGCTATTTATTTGATGATTCTAGAATGTTAGAGTATTTTTTATTGAGTAACTTGCAGTCTTCTCGGAATAAGTAACTCACATACTAAACCGGTTAAAAAAGGATATTTGATTTTATACTCAATTTACACTTTTTATTTTTAGTATATTTTTCCATCAAGATTTCAAATTCTTATTTTATACCCAAGTTTTGATATTTTTGTTTTGATTTCTGTTTCTTTTGAGTTTGATTTCCCCTGGCTGGAGCCCTGACGGGTAACAGAAGGCCCTTCTATAGATCTTTCTTGCTTGAACAAGAATTATTTTTACTCATCTTCTTGTTACTTTTGAGTCTTTTGCATCATCTGTATCTGTCAAGTCTTCCCTGAAATTTGCGTTACTGGATTTTTTTTATTGATGGTGGAAAGTCAAATGAGTGCCTGTACAATTTAGAACATCATTAAATTTTGTGTACGTAGTTTGATTTTTGTAGCTTATCGCAATTTGGAAAGCAAGGTAGAAAACTCTTGCGCATATTTCAATTTAGAAACATATGAACATGATAGAAGGCATTGGAAAGTTAGAAGGCCCCAGATACCCTTCAACATACTAATCATATGTGGTTCATCCGTGAAATTCTATTTTGTACTGAATAATTTGCCTTGAAACATCGTACTTAACTGAGTTTCGCTGCCTATTTGATATTACTGAATACTGAATGATCACAACATTTATGGTTTTGCCTATTACTGCCACTTCCACTGGAATTCATAGCGTTCGTATTCTTCTTTGCAGATAGGAGATAGATTTATAAGCCGTAGGCTTGTCCAAAAGCTTTATGATAGAGCTCTTGCAATTGGACTTCAAGGCTATGCCAAAATGTACGTCTTTGCACCTTTCTGGTTTATTTTAATTTTCCAGGTTACAAAACCTTTCTGTGTCTAGTCTATAAATTACGCTATCTGCAGATATCAATTACAATGTAATTGTGTTAATTGAAGGTCTCAATGAATTAATCACAATTGCAGGCACCAGCCTCACTTCACTCGTCTAGCAAATTGGGAAGGAATTGAAAAAGTATCTTTTCTCTCTAGAACTATAGTACCATATAATTACATCTGCTGCATTGTTTGTATGAGGAACAAATGAAGTGGTTTTGTATGTTATTTTTAGTTGTGGATCTGCTAATTTCATTCTCATTATGATATCTGATGCATATGTTCTATTGATTTATTCTGTATTGGTAAATAGGAATGAAGTTTTAATTTTCATATCTAGACGATGCTATTGAAATGTAGGTCACAGAGATAGTTCATAAAGCACCCAACTTTTTGTATAACAGCGGATGTGAACTTGTATTCTGATCCCAAAGGTGCTGTTACATGGAAATCAAGGGTACTTAGGGAATTTGGACCGTAGGAAACTTATGGAGACTTCTAGTGGCATCAATCAGGGACTATATGTAGAGGAAAAGGCGTGAATGAATTAGTATTTTGTGTTATTTTGTTTTCTGGCCTTTTGCCTCGTTGCAGCTGCTGTTTTAGTTACATATGTATTATCTAGGTGGCCAGATTTTTAATTTCACGGTGGCATAAATGCATCAATTTCTCTAACAAAGCATCCTAGATCCGTTTGCTATTCCACTTGCTTTAATAGGAACTAGAAAACTCTAGCAATTTGAATAACATAATTCTCAACAATTTATCTTAAGTTGTGATGGGCATCCTAGGGGGGCGGGAAACCTTTCTCCAATAGCTAGCTGTAAAGTTGGAGGAGCCAATCTACTCGAGTATGCTATAGATTCATCCCTTACTACTCAATGTCGGATTTAGGCATTCTACATGCGAGCAGGGAGATCAAAATATATTCTGATTCTGATTGGTCAATATTGGGTACAATATATGCATTGAGGCAGTACACTAATCACGTCTAAAAGCTAGGAATAGAAAATAAATTCCTATCTTTGACTATTTACTCATTAATGAGGAGAAGGAGAAAGAAAATAAATAAGGTCATATTAATTCTGACTAATCCGGAGATTTCCCCACCATACTACCTCAGTCTCTATCAGTTAGCTCTCCCTGGAGAATTTACATGTCAGTAACTTCACTTTGTGACACTTCACTCAGTGACATTTGCTTAGCTGTGCCCCTAGAAAAAAAGGACATTTACTTAGCTATGTCACCGATCAAAATCCTCAGAACCCTCTGCAAAAGCCCTTTTAAAATTGTCAGCAACTGGCTGTAGGTGACCTCCTCAAGAAGCTAGCTTTTGAGGGAACCCTCCTCATCCAACCCGAGTGTCCATCAAATTATCAATAACATGCTGTTTGATTTCCATTATCAAGGGTCTAGAAAACAACTAGCACACTTTAGTTATTTTATTACATGTTTTAGCAGTCGAGGTATAAGCTTTCGGCCACAAGCATTTGGAATTAATTTTTGCCATATATCAATTATCATTGGCATCTTATCAATGCTGTGTACATCCTGTGATTGTCTTTATAGACCAGTACTAAGTTTTACTATATATGTCTGCTTTGCCAGTCACTCTCTATTCGGGATTTTGATGATCATGCAACTCGCATTGTTGGGAAATATGAGGTACTAATATCTAGCATATAATGCATAATTTGTCGTTTTTATTATCTCCTATTTTTAGCCAACCCAGTATGAGTAACCTCAAGTTTGCATGTTTTCTTAGACTGTTGATACCTACTACAGGCGTTGTAGCAGCTCCCTTTATATACAATCTGTGGCTGTTCCGCTTCTCTGTATTAGTGCTTTGGATGATCCAGTCTGTACCAGGGAAGCCATTCCCTGGGATGAATGCAGGTTGCCTGCTTTTATTGCATTCCTTATTTTCTATTAATGTGCCTTTTCCTTAGACTCAAATATAACATTCTTTTCCAATAGGGCGAATAAAAATATTGTGCTGGCTACTCCGAAGCATGGGGGACATCTGGCGTTCTTTGAGGGAATAACTGCATCCAGCCTGTGGTATTTGACACATGCATATTGTCTGTTCTTTAGCATATTGTTAAATCCAGTAATCTCATTCGATTAGCTTGTTTGGAGCTTAATTATTAACAAAACCCTTTCTAATATGTTGAGTCCATCTTGCTGAGTGGTCTTGTATGTCTGATCTCCAACATGTTGGATCCAATAATCACACTCCATTAGCTTCTTTGGAGCTAAACTACTGACAAAACTGGGCGAAAGCGTTCTATGTCCTGGCTGGGTTTATTGGTTTCTGGCTTAGATGATTTCACCAGCTTCTTCATAATATAATATCTTGATGTTACTTGACTTGCCGGCTATGAAACTGTTTCTGGCTTTGTTAAGAGATGGGTAAACACGGGGAATCTGATAATAGTAATGCTGCATAATAGTATCATAAATAATAATTTTTTTATTGGCTGGATCAGATTGCCCTTGATATACCTTCGATCAAACAACTATTAATTAGAAGATAACGAGCCAATTGGTTTTTTCCCCCTCTTGCAGGTGGGTAAGAGCTGCAAATGAATTTCTTGGTGTGCTACTCACTAGCAAATATATGCATGTACAGAAGGAGGTAAAAATATGCTACTGATATTTTGCTTATTTACTGATAAGTTACAAATCCTTTGATTCTGATGGAACCCAGGCCAAAATAAAACCGAAATATCCTTCTTCTGAATATTTATAGCTCATAAGACAGCAACAGAAGTCTATAGACACGCACAGAAATAAGTAACAGCAAAAAGGAAAGGAAAATAAGAAAGCACTGCCCTAGCTTGCTTGGGCTCTCACACAGTACCAATTTCTTTCCTTGCTTCTTAGTCCCGAGAACCGCTCAATAAAACCTCCCCACTCCACACATGCCCTTTATCTCTCTTCCACTCCCCCCACCCACGTGTGCATGGCCAACCATCTTGTACTGTCTATTGTCTTATCTTCTTCTCATAGGCATTGGCCTTTCCCTCATCGGCCCAAAAATTACAGGTCCATCAAATTCTAAATTTATGCATTTGATCATTTCATCCATGTTTTAGTACCCTATTGAGATTTTTAAGCGATTTTTAGACTATTTCTTCCAGCTGAAACCCTTCTGTTGTGTGTAACCTTTGAATGATGCAGATCTCTAAACCACACACACCATGGGACACACCGATTGATCAGGGCCCTTACGTAAACTTTACCAAAAATGGAATGGTGGCAGCGTCCGAGCAAACAACACAGAACGAGGAAGAGTCACAAGCAATACCATCTGATCAGCATCAACCCAATGAAAGGATCCAAGAAGAACAAGTTGAAGTGCCCAGAGCTGATGCAAACTGTGATGATGCCCCTGGCATTGCAGAAACTCCAAGCATGCAAGGCGAGGCCATACCCCTTGATGTAATAGCACCTTTCAAGAGATATTTAGGTCAGTTATCTCGGCAAAATCGATGGTCCATCTGGTTGCTTCTTTATATTGCTGTTACTACAAGTTGGCCTCTGGTGGGTTCAGCACTCCGTGTTGTGTTTGGAAAAAGGTTAAAGGGTATCTTACCAGCTGGATTTCTCAGAAGATAATCTCATATAATTTAACTTCACTTTTTTCTGTTTGATATGTGGGTAGATATATGGTGTTATATACTGTTTATCTGCCTTGATTGTAGTCAACATCTACCTTCCTAGACTTACGTAGGATAAGGGAAAGAAATAATATAGGGAGGACTACCCTTAAAGGCCATATTTAAGGATGCTGAAGTACATTCACCATTGAGTTATATCCTGGGCATCAGATGACATGCTGAAGAATGTATATCAATCTTCAAGCAAATCCCAGTGAGTTCAAATAATGTTATGTCTTGAATTTCTTGCAATAAGTGTTTGTATATATTGAAAAATAATGAAAAACATTGGAGAATAGATATAAACAAGTATCATATATCATAACATTTTGCAGATGATTCTATATTGAAAGTATATATAGCCATGTAACACAAATATATATTCCTCTTATCCTTAATGTAGGACCTAATTTGAGAGTTGATATTAGTTCTATATGTAAGATTTATTTTACATATTTATCAATTTTTTTCCAAATCAACCTTATTAATATTCTCTTAATAATAATCATGTAAGAGAGAGAGGGAGAGAATCAAGAAAGATAACTATGATGTTTTAGAAAGAACATATCATATTAATTAATTTAATTAATATTTTTAATTTATTTAAATTACTTAATTAGGTCTTACGTTAAGAATCGAAGAAGTATATCTTTAGCTTGGAGTTGATTTTACTACCTCCATATCGCTTCAAAAAATGCCCGATTGCCTGCATTTAGATGCCACTTTTTCTGTATTCTTTTTACGTTTTATTTGAAATTAAATGCATAGGCATTTAATGATGAATAGGAAATTACTTTGATTATAATGCGCTCAAAGTTAAAACAACAGACAATACTTGTTATCAATATGGAACCTAGTGAGGTAGGGGGGTGGTCCATTGGTTTCAGAAAAGTAGTTGACTTTTTTTTTTTTAATTCGCAAATTCAGAGTTTATAGTGCATAAGGTATAATAGTGTGATTAAAAGATAGAAAACAATAATAAACATATCGGTAACTAGCTGGAAGTTCTTCGTTCGAACCGTAATGCCTCTCATTGTTTGAAAAAATAAACAAACGTATCACAAAAAATGAATAAGCAAATACTAATTTTTTTTCAAACATGAAATTAAATTATATTACAGAACAACTTTCGTTAAAAAAAAAAAAGTGACGTTAAAATTTTTCTAAACTTTTTCTTTAATGCAGATATTTTCCTTCTCATTAATCAATCGATAATTTCTATCATGAAATTTGATGTGATAATAATGATGATATACCTTCCAAAAATTCCTCCTTTTTTCTTTTTGCCCTACACAAATAAATTTTAAAACTTCAAGTCACTTGTAGATGAAGATATATCAGTGAAATAATCAATCAATTAATAATAATATAAAAAGTCATGTATGAAAATGGCCTTCTCCTTTTTTAGGATAAGGTTGATCCAATACCTAAAATATCTGTCGAAATTATCAAGTATCTTTTGGCTCAAAGTATTTTGTGATTGCAATTTAAAATATTTTTTCAGATACATCCAATATCACAATGCTACCTCTGACTTTTAATGTTACTTCCGGTTTTTAATATAAGACTTCATTTAACTTTTATTTTGATCTTAAATATAAGATCTCAATCCATTTTGTCTCTCAAATTTACTTATCTTTTTTTCAAAATAGTCCTTCTAATAATGGTAATTCTAGTCAATAAACTTGATTAACAAGGATATTTTAGGAAAGACAATATCTATTTATTACAAATAACTAACTTAATATATTTTCTTAATCTACTCGAATTAGTCAACCAGTTCTTATATTTAGGACTAGAGGTAGTATAAGAGTTGATTAACTAATTTAAGTAAATTAAGAAAGTTTGTTAAGTTAGTTATTTGTAATGATTAAGTGTTGTATCCGATAAAATATCCTTATTAATCAAGTATTAGCTAAAATTATTATTTAATTGAACAGTTAATGTATGCAACTATTACAAATACTACTTGAAAAATAAATAAATATGAGAAACAAAATAGATTATAGTCTTATATTTATGATAAAATTAAAAATCAAACTAGCTCTTATATTAAAAAAGAGAGGATAGAAACACTTAAAAGTATTTCAAGATGGTATAAATAAACCACAAAATATTTAAATATCCTGGCACCAGCTGAACCCTTCTTTCTCTTTTTTTTCTTTTGGTTCCCTGGATATTGCTTAGAGAAGCATGACATGTGAAGGATCGTAAGTGCGTCTCTGGACAAAAGGTTTTGGTAAGACAAATGACGTGTTTGATATAAGGAATCAAAGCAGAGGAAGACAAATGTGACGTCCAAGTAATAATAAGAAATTTGGGGGGGTAAAGGAATAGAACTTTCTTCACCTATTTTTTCTCAATATTCCTCTCAGAATATTCATCAAATCCACTTTTATTATTAATTAATTAAATCAAATAACTAGTTACTATGAAGCAAAGCATAAACCCTTTCCCTTAGTTATCTCCTTGTTTTCTCAGCCTCTGTCCAATGTGCATACTAATTAATTATTACTTAATCATTTTGGGAGCCTTCACCTATTATATTATATTATATTATATTTAGATATATAAATGCATGTCTTTATCTTTGTTAATCCCTCTTGATCTTTTGACTAACAGATGTAAAGTGATATATTCTGTTACAAAGATGCCTTTGGTTAATTAGAATAATAATTTAATTAATTAATGAGAGGAATAACAGAGAAAAAAATAAATTAATTAAAGGAAGTTGAAAGTTCAAAAGGCATCTCATAATAGTGCCTTAGACTGCCACATTGCTATCAAACTTTATTGTATAATCTTTCCACATCCATATATCAAACTATATATGCTTCTCAACCATCTCAATTATTCTTAACTCCCTTTCACGCTTTTTTTAATAATTTTTTGCCACATTTTTTTATCTGGTTCAATTATTATATTCTCTTGAGAACATGTAATAGTTTATGTCTAAAAAATAAAATCGTTTTCTAGGAACTTATATTTATAATAACAGTGGTCCTGATAAATAGCAGGTATGTATATAATGTAGTGTGCTTTTGAAAAATAGTTGAACTTAATATATAGGATGAATATAGTTTTCATACTTTAAATTTAGGGCATATGTTTAGAGCAGGAAAAAAGTTTATATACTTGTGTGATATTAATTTAATTAAACAAATTATGAATCAATTGTATGAACTTTTTTTTTACATGTAAAAAAAGGAAAGAGAGGTTATTTTTCTAGTAGTAAACTTTTTATAATTTTTCATCTATTAAGGAAATGATTATTTACATTCAAAAATAAAAAAATAGTAAAAATCATACTATTGATATATAATACATATGTCTAAATTATATATATATATATATATATATATTCTTCCTATCCTTATTATAAGGCGCCACTTAGAAAACTTTCTTAGTCCATAATATATATATATATATATATATATATATAAGATGTTATGTAATATTATATAATGTTTTAAATTTTAATATCTCGTAAATTGTCCATTGAAAGGAAAATAGAATCATGAGCTATTTTGTTAAAACAAATTTAATGGTAACAAACTTTTTATAAGGTGCGTGAAATAATAAAAAAAACATCTTATATTTCGGGTAAAAAGAATATACACACGCATCCCATATATCCACTTAGATTTGTTGAGGGTTTAAAAGCAGCATGCATTAGGATAAGCTTCTAGTTGGGATCAAGTTTAAAATCACTTATGAGCATGTTTTATGTAAGACAAAATAAAACTCTTCTCATATATTTACCTCGTATTCTGAAAATCATAATTGAAAAGTTATTTATAACTCATTCTTAAAAATCACAAATTACTTGCAAAAATAAATTTTCTAGAGATTCCTTTTTTTTTTTTTTTTTACCACCTATAGGCATGTTCTCCCTTATTTTAAGGCCTATCAATCTTCAAACTAGAAATATGCTGCCATCTCTACTCAAACTTCAAAGTAGATCACGTTAAATATGACAAAGTCAACCAAACAGCTACATTAGTATTAGTAAAACGTACTACTTGTTAAACAAATGGGACAACAACTTTTTTTTTTAATTGAATTTCTAAGACTATATTCATTTGATAAGACAAATTAATCTACCTCAAAAGATACTTATTATAAGGTTAAAAAAACAGATTTGTTTTATACATAAAAGTTTATAATTAAAACTCTTAACCATTTTTACAAAACTTTCTATTATACTCATGTTAAATTTAGTTGTTAGAAGGAATTTGTTTGGGATAACCTTCAGTCAACCGAAAATCCAAAAGCCAGTTAGAAACTAAGTATTATGATGGGATCAATGTTTAGGCAAAATGACTCTTTGTTTGAAAATTATATTAAAGTTAAAAAAATCATTTTTAACTTCTGATTTTTCACTTTTGGCTTTTCTATAAATTTAAATTTTCTGAAACTCACTTTTTAATATATCATTTAACTAAGATTATGTTAAATCGGCTTTTTTTTTTATTTATTAAAACCTATCTAGACATTAATAGTATTATACTAATCAACTTTTATCTTAAATTCAATTTGCAAAAATTACTTAAGATAAAAGTCAGTTTGCGGAAAAAAAACAAGAAAAAATGGTAAAAAAGGATTTTAAAATTTGAAAAATTATATAATTGTTGTTATTTGCTAATCAATTATTTTCAAAACCAATACTAATATTGTAATGGTTCCTGTTTGCAATTTTTTTATTTTTAAGGTCTTTTTTTGTGATTTTTCCTAAAAACAAACATAAATGGTATCTTTTAAAATGTTAAAAGAATAAAGTGCAATTTAAGGAAGAAAAAGATTAAATAAAAAAGGGAGCCCTAACGGCAATACCAATATTAAAAAAAAATGGGAAGGGGCAAACGTTGGAGTGCAAAGAATCATAAGATCAGGAAGATCCTCTAAACATGTTGTCGTACGAGAGTTCATGATGACACCCACGAGGCTTAATCATAATTAATTAATTAATTAATTAATATATTAATGCAAACAAAAAACACTTAATTAAATGACAACAAAGAAGACAATGGCTGTGGTGAGCCAAATGGTTTGCGTCTTAGGATGAAGACAACCAACATCTGGGTGCTGCTGCTGTTTCTGTTGCTCCTCCCTCCTAAATTATTATTTTACTTAAAAATATTAAATAATTTATTAATAATCGGTTTCCCAATCCTCAAGAAAAATATAAACATATAGCCCCATGATTTTACGGATCATGTCATGTGGCTGTAAATGCCTCTCCAATAATATTACTTTTCTTTTTTAATTAATTAATTGATTGATTATTCCCTCTTTCACTTACTTCGTTAATTAATTTGCTGAACCATGCAAAACACCGGTATATATATATTCACAAACCCTTGTTTCTCTTTTCTGTACTTTAAGAAGGAAACAAGTCTCTTTGATCTCCATTATCACAAAGACATCATTATAACCACTTACCATCTTGATTTATAGTACATCCACTCCTTAATATGAGAGCTAATTGTAAAGTTAATTTGATCCAAAATATAATTTCTTGATCCATTATGTCGTCTCTTATCCTTTTTCAAAATATCTCTATTGATTATAAGGGATTACAGTACCAAGGAATAATTCTAATCATCCAATGTATATAATTGAAGATGATAGTTTATGGAGATTAACATACATTTGTGATAAATAACTAAGTTAACTAATTTTTTAAATATCCTTGAATTAGTTATCTAGCTCTTATATCAAGTAACAGAAGTAGTATAACATATAAACACATCATCAAACCAATTAAGCAAACACGAGAGGCCACATACAGATACATCTTGAAAGTTTACTTTTTTTTAAGCCATAATTCATCTAATGAAAGAAATTAACAAACTTGTCATAATAATCTATTATATTCCGATAGCATCAAGCTTGGAATCTTACCTGCTTATTATTACTAGATCAAAACCTTTAAAGCAGCAAGGATGATTGAGAATGTTCAAGTTATGTGAAAAAGAAAAGATTTTTTTTTGGGGGTGAATGGGGAGATGAGTAATAATAATGGGAATATTGAAAAAACTATTTGGTGTGTGGACGATGACTTACTTGCTCTACTTCGCTTTCCCTATCTATCAATTTTCTTTTTGATGGCTGACACGATTGCTCCCTCAGAAAGCATATGTAAGTAAATGGACTCTCTCTCTCTCTTCTTCCTTTCTTCCTCTCTATCTTTTTGCCCTACCTGTTGTCTTCTTCTTTTTCATTCTCTCACGCAATGGGATCTCACACGCAAAGGCCAAAACACTACATGGATTTGGATGCAACCTCCCTCCCTGTGTTTGTTTCTCGAGAATCGAGCCCAGATGTGTGTATATATATATATATTCCTAAAGACAAATTACTAATCCCTCACGTGGGGTTGTCTGACACCTTCCTATACTATTTTTCCCTCATCTCTTAGCTGAGTGACACTTATCAGATTGCCCTACACTTCCTCCTCCTTCTCCCCCCCTCCTGACACCATTTTTACCTCTCTCCCCCTTCTCTCTCTTCCTCTTCAATTCTTCTTCTTCATCACCCCTCCTATACACCTATAATACTATACCACATCTATACATATGGTGCGTGCCATGCCCATGCCCATGCCCTCTTGCTTCTTTCATTTTATCTTCATCATATCTGCTCATAACTGTGAATTCATATTTCTTTGCATTTTTCAATTTCTAATTCTGGAATAACTTGATCAAATTCAGTAAACACATAAAAAACCAGTGGATATATATATGCCTCTACTCTTGAGCTTGATGGAGAGGTCAATGGCCTAAACAGCTAAACTTGGTTTGATTCTTGAGCATTTGAGTTTACTTTTTCCTTCTTCTTTTTCACCAAGGGGAGGGTTATACATGAGATATCATTTTCTTTTTGTGGTTGATTTTGGCACGCAAAGGGGTGAAAAGAAGGGAAAAAAGGAATTTGGGTGTGTCTGCTTTGTGTTTGAGAATATGTGAAGAGAGAGACCTCACGTGGGTGTGTCTGACACCGAGCATGTTTTTCTACCTTACCACTTCCCTTCTCTTCCTCGCTTTCCCTTTCCGTCTTTCCCGTCTCTCTCTCCCTCTCTCTCCTTTCTTTCTACTCATCAACTTGACACCATGAGGTTTCTTGCATTTCGGTTTTGGTCTCTTACACTATACTATTTCTTTTTCTCTTTCTTTTCTGGCTTCTCAATTTTACTGATATGATAATTATATAAATACAGAGAGAGAGAGGAGCTAGGTAGACAGCTAGGGTTAACTTATATGTGCATGGGGGATTCTTGTTTCTTTCTTCTGATACTGATACCAGATATATAGTAGATAGATACATAGATAATGTAGTTTAATGCATACAAGAAGCTGCCATTTGTCAGTTTGAGATTGCATGAGGCAGCATATTAATAATGTGCCCCATTTGGAGCATATTAATTAGTGTCCAGTATTGTTTTTAACAAGTTATATATAATTATATATATATATCTATATTGTGTCCTCCCTTAACAAGACAATCAAGAATTTAGTGCTTTTCCATGTTTTGATGTGACTTTTTCAGGATCCTCCACTTCTTCCCATGACCATTTCAAACACAAATTCCAATGTCATCATCTTCTCCTCACAATCTCATCATCTTGTATTTTCATATTTGTGGTGCAACACAGTGTCAGTATAATTAGCTTATTTCAGAAAAAAGTAATTAAAAAGAACCCTTGAAATTTTGTTGAACAAATATACCTTCCAAGGATGTTCATGCAGCATATTTAGGTGAGAAAGCTGGAATAATATATTGCCCTGTGCTGATCTAAAAGATTCTTTCTTTTATGCAGGCCATATCAGATGCTTTTCTAAAAAATAGTTAACCTAGTTTGGCTTCTAGACCAATCACTAGCAGAAAGGAAAGAAGAAAAACCAGATTTGAATAAGCGGATATAGTAAATAGTCCATATCAGAAAAATCAACTAGTTTCCTACAGAGAAGTAATTAAATCGGGTCACCCTTTTTCTTTTTCTTGTTAGCTTCTATTTGTCCTGGCATATTTATGATGAGAAAGTGTCAAAAAGTCTCCTTGCAGGATCCCTATGTACTTATTAAAGGAATGTATGACTAAAACAAACCAAAATACTTGTAAGAAACTCTCATTATTTCTTCTGCCAATCAGATCCATCTTTAGAAGAATATCTTCAAGGAATCCCCGTTTCCTCTTTGTTATTTCCACCAAAAGCCTAAAGAAACCCCTCATTTTTTCAAACCCTGATTCAGATCTATATCTATACCGAGGCACGTATATGCACCGCATATATAGATACAGATAGAGATATATGTGGCATATATGCAATTCTCAACTGATGTGTGTGTATGTGTGTGTATATGCTAGCTGTGGGATTTTACATATCATTACGCAGAAAGGGAAAAGGAACAGGAGAAGAGAGGGGGGAAAATGATGATGAAGGGAATTGTTTAAAGGACGGTACGTTTGATTCCCCATTGACACCGCTGTCTCTTGTCCAATGCATATGGCATCTTCCAGGCCTTCCCAACTACCAAAGGAAAAGAGAGTTATAAAGCCACCCAAAAACAGGACCTTTCGTAGATTTGAAAAGCAGTCCCCTTTATATTATATTATTACTACTACTATTATTATTAAATTATTAATGAAAAGATCAATGTGCTTGTTTTCCCCTGACCCAAGACACACTTCCACTTCCACTCATGATCGATTCTTTAAGAATAAAAAGATACCCTTCTTAATCTCTCCGTCTTATTACAAACCACAATTATAATACACTCAATGGGCAGCAAAAAGGAGGGAAAAGTAGAGATCTTATATATATATATATACATATATGATGTTAATTAATTAATCAATGTTATTTTTCTCTTGTTAATCGTTATCGTTAGTCAAAATATAAATAATAACAGCAGTATTCAGATTGTCAATATTAGAGAAGTAGGGGACACATTTGCCTTGGTTTCTTGGTCCTATATATACCCATGTCATGACACAAAGGAATTTTTGTGAGCTATCCCTTCTCAATCTCTCATAAAAACCCCACAAAGAAGATAGATATAACACACATATATACATATAAAGCCAGTGTCTTTTTTTGTCCCTAGATTTACTCTTCCTCATCTCTCTTCCTTTTTCTTCGTCTCTTGTTCAGATTATGGAAGATCCAGAGGAAGAAGAGCTTCTGAATCTCAGCCTCTCAGTTTCTGCAGGTAGATCAGAGAGGAAAAAGAAAGGAAAGATGATGATGATGAGTACTAGAGATCATCATCTTCATCATCACCACCACAATTCCTTCTCCTCCTATGAACAAGGCTTGGAAGGGAAGATCTTTAGGTTGCTTCAAACCAGAGATCTAATGCTTCGTCAAGATCAAAACCTCATGAGAAATCGAAGAGGAGTTCTAGAAGATGGCAATGGCCTCCCTCTGATTCACCTTCTCCTGAGTACAGCCACTTGTGTTGATGACACCAACATTAACTCTGCCCTAGACAACCTCACCCAGCTTTACCAAACTGTCTCTCTCACCGGCGACTCCGTCCAACGCGTCGTCGCTTACTTCGCCGACGGCCTCGCTGCTCGGCTCCTCACCCGGAAATCCCCCTTCTACGACGTGCTGATGGATGAACCCACAAGTGAAGAAGAGTTCTTAGCCTTCACCGACCTTTATAGAGTCTCACCGTACTACCAATTCGCTCACTTCACAGCCAACCAAGCCATCCTTGAAGCCTTCGAGAACGAGGAAGACAAGAACAACCGAGCATTACATGTCATCGACTTCGATGTCTCCTATGGTTTTCAATGGCCTTCTCTGATACAATCCCTCTCCGAGAAAGCCACCAGCGGCAACAGAATATCTCTGAGAATCACAGGCTTCGGGAAGAACCTCAAAGAGCTTCAAGAAACGGAATCTCGTTTGATCAGCTTCTCAAAGGGATTCACCAATCTGGTGTTTGAATTCCAAGGCTTGCTTCGAGGCTCACGTGTGATTAACCTAAGGAAGAAAAAGAATGAAACAGTGGGTGTGAATTTGGTCTCTTATTTGAACACATTGAGTAGCTTCATGAAGATTTCTGACACATTGGGATTTGTTCATTCCCTCAACCCCTCCATTGTTGTGCTTGTGGAGCAAGAAGGAAGTAGAAGCCCCAGGACGTTCTTGTCGAGATTCACTGATTCATTGCACTACTTCGCCGCCATGTTCGATTCTCTTGATGATTGCTTACCTATGGACAGCACAGAGAGGCTGAGGATAGAGAAGAAGCTTCTGGGAAAAGAGATCAAGACCATGTTGAATTACTACGACGTGGACGGCTCGGATTGTCCCAAGTACGAGAGGATGGAAACATGGAAGGCGAGGATGGAGAGCCATGGCTTCAGCGGAACAAAAGTGAGCTCAAAAGCTTTGATTCAAGCGAAGCTACTTCTGAAGATGAGGACGCATTATTCTCCACTTCAGTTTGAAGACGACGGAGGAGGAGGAGGAGGAGGCGGTGGGGGTTTCAGGGTTTCAGAGAGAGACGACGGAAGAGCCATATCTTTGGGATGGCAAAATAGGTTTCTTCTTACAGTCTCGGCATGGCAGACAGTGCTGTGATGATGATTATGATCCGTCGTCGTCAACAATCATAATAATAATAATAATCCCTAACCTCTGTTCATCATTTTGGTAAAACCTACGCTCAAAATGATGATGAGTTTTTAATATTCTTAACTTATAATTATTATTATTATTTCTCTATTTGACTACTGTTAGCTACAAGATCCATCTTGTTCTGTTATTGTAGAGTTTTCAGTGGCACCTACTAGCTCCTAGATTATTGTTTAAGTATATATTCAAGGTATAATACATGACGCATATATTATATATATCTTCTTTGAACATATTATCTAAAGTCGTCTCTTTCTGCCTTCTCAATGTGTTTCGATCAACACGAAGAACCCTAGTTTCTTTTTGACTGGCAAATTATGAAGAACCCTAGTCTTATTCCATGGATTAATTCATGTCTAGGTTCAAAGTTTAGGTATATTTTGTTATCATGATGACATTTCTTTTTCATTTCCATGTCCAAGGGATTGCTGATAGATATTATGTCCGTGTGAAATATAGGCATGAGAAATAGGAATGCTGGAGCTAAAGCTCTCAAGAGAATTATATGAAGAAATTAATTTGAACATGATAGAAGACTATATAGAGGTGAAAAGAATTAATGGTTTTATAATTTGTTAATTAATAATATTATTATATCAGTAATATTAATTTAATTTATTTGAAAAGAGTCAACAATGGCGATTCTTTTAGGTGATTAATTATATATTAGAAAAGAGTGTGCAGATCGATTAAAATAATTTGATCCAACTAATTTTGTCTTCCATCACTTAATTATGTTATCTTGTTTACAATAAGCAAGGGAATAAGCTAAGCCTCCTTCATTTTTGTCACCAGATAAAGAAAATACATGTACTCCTCCGGTTCTTATTATAAGACTCTATTTGACTTTTTATTGGTACTAATATAAGACCCCAATCCATTTTGTCTCTTATATTATGCATTTTTTCCCAGATAATCCTTCTAATAATGATAGTTTTAGCCAATATACTTAATTAGCAAGGATGTTTTAGGAATGACAACACTTATTTATTATAAATAACCAACTTAACTTACTTCCTTAATCTCTTCAAATAAGTCAATTGGGTCTTATAATTAGGACCGGAGGAGTACTTTATTTTATGGCCAAAGGAGAATCTTCAACTAAATATGAACGACCCTGAGACTGCCAAATTGGATATTTTGAACCAGTGAACACAGTTTCTGTATTTTCTTTGATGGATTAAAATAAAACACCATGCAGGGGAAGCATATACTTTTGAGTGTTATTAACATATTTTTGTGAAGAGCGTTAAACTCATCGATAGCATATTTAAAGATATACTATCTCCGGTCTTATTTATAAGAACTAGTTGACTAATTTGAAAATATTAAGAAAAAAAGTTAAGTTAGTTATTTGTAATAACTATGTGTTTTCTTTACTAAAATATCCTTACTAATCAAGTTTATTGGTTTAAAACTATTATGTTAGAAGGACTGTCTTAGGTAAAATTATTAATATATGAGAAACAAAGTGGATTGGGATTTTATATTTAGGACCAAAATAAAAATCAAATAAGATCTTATATTAAGAACTGGAAGTAATATTATAACCGCATTTTCTACTAAGCTCGGGCCTTAACTATATTAAATATTTAAATTAGACCGATTTATATCTACGTTTTCTTAATTACCAAGAAGTGAATGGAACTACATGTATACTTTCTCCGCACCTAATGTAAGAATCAGAAAGTTTTGTTTTAGTTCTAAACATAAAGATTTCAGTCTATTTTATCTTCTAAATTTATAATTTCCTTTAAAAAAATTTTCTTATTAATTATACATGTTGATTGAGGGTTTTTTTTTTGGTGCGTTTTCCATCAATAGAGAAGTTTACAAGCAAATGATTAAGAATTATACCTTAGAAAAATTAACATATAATTTTTTATAAATAATTAATTTAACTAATTTTCTTAACTACGATACAAATTAGTTATCTAATTCCCAGATTTAAAACCGGAGAGAAAGTATTAAGTTTCTTCAATTTATTTGGGTTTTTAAATCTAATTAAGTATTGAGAAAAGTCGGATACGATTCCATTTTTCGAAATATCAAAAAATATAAACACAGATAGTAAAGAAATTAAAGAAATTATATCAATGTTATATATATGTATATATATATTGCCAACGTATATCAGTGTTATTTGGATCTAGGAATTGTCATCCTAACAAATCTGGCACAATATCCATCAAACATGACGTGATATCTCTAATTATTAGCTTAATAGAACTGATTAACATCTCTAAGATCACATAGGATTATTGCACTATACATGAGTATCTTCCTTTTATACTATGCGTCAATGTGTGTATGTGATAATGATTTTACAATGATTTTTGTTAACTGACCACATTAAACAAAAACATCATGGTTTAATCTGACATGCCCATACCCCCACAATCTAAAATGCTTCAAAGTTAACCAGTGCTATTTCGATTCTTAATATAATAATTAGTTAAAAATTTAATTTGATTATAAATATAAGACATTAATCTATTATGTTTCTAATATTCATCTATTTTGCCTTCAAGTTATATTCTTACAGTGATTTCACATATTAGGAAATTCTTATTAAAAGGTAATTTCAATATACATAATTAATAAAGATATTTTAGGAAAGATAACATTTATTTATTATAAAAACTAATTTAATTAGTTTTTTTAATTTTCAAAATATTTAGCTCTTATGCTAAGAACTACAAGTAGTATTAAGAATTTAAGATAATCATAACTTTAACAAGCGCATCAAAACAAGCTTTAATCAAGTACTTTGAAATGTTAAGGTTTAGTTTTCAATTGGCTCAGAAAACTTGATTAGACTTCCCGTTGATTTGATGCGACTTTCAGGTACAATAAGAATTCAACTGCGATAAAGACTGAGTGTTAATTTTAAATAGTTAAAAGCTTAAATGCAAATTAAATTAGATTAAGCCCCCATTATTGTTCGCAGTGCAACTCCATAATGGAATATTGACTCCATAAAAGATCCACACTCTCACGCAGGAGCACAAACACAAAATAATAAAGAAATATGATAATCTTGTTCATTTTTGGGGTATCTTTTTTTTTTAAGTGGAAAGGAGAAATATATTAATCAGTCAGAAAAAACAAATGCACCCTAATCTTATTATGGTTTAGGGTGCTAAATGTACTATGATGTAACTGAATAATAATGGTAAAGGATGCTAGATAAATAAGAAAAATAGTATCAACATGTTAAGTGCTTTGTAAAGAAGATTAAAATGTTGGATATTATTAAAAAATAACATTAAGCTTGTGGATGGTACTTTTTCCCATTAAATTATCACTCAAATCAAATGAGTGTCCAGACAACTTTGTAACTGTTCTCTTTGGTCTCTACATTTTGTACCTTATGACCTTTCCATTCCTCCTGTGGCAGGGATCCTATGCGCCCCAGTTACAGCTATATAATAAATATTATTTTTTTAATTACTTAATTTGTGGAAATTTATGTATCCTGCAAGAAATCCGTTCTTGTTAACCAGGAGATTGCAGCCTCTTGTTTTGATGATGTGTTTTTGTGTACTTGAAAATCCAATCTTGGAAGGCAAAAGCACAGTACTTTTGCATCCCAACATTGATTGCAATTGCCTCGGTAATTGCAATGATTTTTTGTTGTGAAAATAGTCCATTATGTAAGCAATTAAGCATAGGAGGGTACTATCAAATTAAATTATTTAGACCAGCCTTGGGGGGGGGGGGATGGGAAAATTGCATTAAGGTTCGTATAAGAAAAATAAATAGCAAAAAGTATCTTAAAATTATTAAATTAATTTGAGGTCTGGAATTATTTCATTATAAAATATTTCACTTGTTTAATTTCTCAATTGCTCTCTTTTTTTAAGTATACACTAATAACTAAAAAGACAGTAGTTAACAAAATTTAAGATGCAATAATTAATATTATTGTAACAAGTATTAACAACACATTTTCTTAATATATCACAAAGATACGATGCATATGTTGTTAATAACTATCGTGATAGTTGTTAATCGTTACACTTTATGTTATTAATAAACATTCTTTCAGTTATCAATGCATACCGTTAAGTGCTAAGAAAATGTGCTGCATCTTGACACAATTTTCCCATAAAATGGAGATAAAAAACCAATAAAGAAAGAATAATTTGATCTTTCGGATCAAACTTATATTGATTAGGAATTCTTCTTTTTTTCTTCGATACAAAACTACAAAGTTTGCAAATTTACTACATCAAGAAACAATTCATTCTAAGATATGGTACCAACAAAATTTTGGTCAATATATTGCATTAAACATTGTTCTCTCTCTTATTTTTCTTTATTTCTGTTATGTTAAATTAGCATGTAGAATAGAGTTGAGAAATCTTATGTTACTTGATTATTGTCCATTATTTTTAGGTAATGCTACTTTTATTATTTTATTAATGCATTTTTATCCTTATAAAAAACACCTTTCTATCATATATAGGATAGACACATCATTGAAAACACAAAGTGATCCTTCAATGCTATAGCTATAAATTATCGCTTCTGTCCAGGCATAAACATAACATCATTTCAATTAATTCGCGGACTTGAAAAAAAAAATTCTTCCGACTTTATATTTAACAAATAAATAACTAATTTATAAAAATTAAAAAATTTAATTAAAAACATCTGCTTTTTGTCCAATCAATTTTAAACTTTTAGCACCATTTATGTGCAGGAAGACTTTGGGATAAGAATTATAAATTTGAAAGACAAAGAAAATTAAAATATTATATTTATAACAAAAAAACTCTCTATTACTTCTTATATTTAAGATAGAATGTAATATAATTTATGTGGTGATGAACATCTATGAGATCTCAAGCAAAAGCATTTTTCAAATACAATTTCAATATGTTGTTTAAGGACAACATTTAGATCAAATTATATCAAATTTTTTAGTCACATTTTGTTAT